ATACGCTTATGTATCTGCATATTTAATTCCAAACAGATAAAAGTTTTGTCATATGGATAAGGCAAAATTAATTCAATATAAGATAAAGAATAGAGCAGACATAGTCTCATCAACCTGGGGAACAAAGGGAAGAAGAAAAGGTTCATTATCGGGATTTATAATTAAACGGCCAATCAGTTCAGCAGCTCCACAATGCCAAGCTCTGACAGGAGATTCCAGCATCCCCAAAATGGCTTGAACTGCACGCTTTTCTCTGTTTGACAAAAGAATTAGAAATGATTGGACACAAATTATATAAGGAACATAAAAAGAAAAGGCTGGAAAACAGTTCTCACGTTATTTTGACGAAAGAAGGCTTATTTGAGCTAAAAATCCGAAGATCGAGCAAAGGAGCCAAATTCACAATTGTCTCAAGGGCATTGGTGACAAGTTCTTCATCCTCTGCACATAGTGTAAACTCCTTAAGGTTTTAGAACAGACAAGCATAATAAATAACAGAAAGGAAGAGAAAGATGCACAAACAAATCTAGTTTTTCCAAAAAATAAGATGAAACATTAATGGAAAACAAAGCAACTATAAGCAAAAACAAGCTAGCAAGTAAATATATAAACTTTTTATGCATAAAAGGAACTTGAACATAGCGATCCATCAACTACTTCAGCTCCAACATATTCACCAAAGCCATTACCTCATATACTTGCACATAATCATGTATTGTAATAATTGAGATGATGCAATAGTTTCACAAGTATCCACGATGATTGACATCATAATCCTAATTGGTTCTACCCTTAGTCAGGGCACGAGAAGTTTGAGGCCTTAACTTCAGAGAACACAGGTTTCGCAATTTACCAGATCGTAATAAAGCAATCAGTAGCCATACAAGGAACTTCTATAGTGGCCCAAGCATCGATAGCGTACAACAGATGCTCCATCAGTTCATTGTGGCATAAACAAATCCAAACACGCAAGTAAATGTGCGACTTAGCAACTGTTCCTAGAAGAGCATAATATATATACATATATAGATGGATGCATGCATATAAGTACATACATACAAACTATATACAAAGACGCTTTGGGGATTGCATAGTGCCGGTGGTTGAAATAGAGTAAACCAAATCTCTAATTTTTACTGTGTGACAATAAAGATGTCTCCAACCATGAATAATTCCTATCATGCTTTTTATTGGACCTCGCACTTAGCATCACTTAGCAACTAAAACTCTGCCAGTTGCTGTGCTGGAACCATGGAACTATTTCAAAAGGATCAGATACAGAAAAGCAAGATACAAATTTTAGATGAATGTTGAAATGAATACTCTTAAATGATAGCCAAACAAATGCCAGAAAACCATCCTATTCCTATGTATTACTCCTGATTTACCACCTGAGTCTAATGGAGAAGATCGAATGTCACATCTAGATTATTCAATGCAAAAGATTGGATCGGGAATTACTGTCTCACATCTCAAAAGGATCTATTGGGAAGAGCACATAAGCAATCAGTCAATATAATATCTGATCTACTGAATTGTATGAAACAGGCTTCTCAAGTTTCAGTCTAAAAGCATATCAGCATGAAGGTATTACATTCCCTGACCTTCCACCCGAAAAATTCCAAATAGAGCAAAAGAAAAATAAAGAAAACAAGTAAAGGAACCCAGAAAAGGCTTAAGTATATCAACACCCCGTTTGCACATAATTTGAAACAGACATAACCCAAGGGCAAGCTGGCACACTAAAAATATCTCCCCACATGAACTACAACCTCCCCAAATTGAGAAACTATGAGCTGCTAGTTGACGCATCCTTTTTCTCATTGCCAAATAATATAAAAGAAATCAAGAATTTCTGATAATCCTTATGCACCTAGACCTGCTATTTGATTACCATCATACACTAAAAAAACATCCAATGAAAGTAGCAGCTGGGTGTACCGTCACCATATCCAAGGTAACACCAAACTCAAGCTTAGAAAACAAATATTACACCATCATGCCCACTTTATGTTTCTAATAGAAGATTGTAGGATAACTACAAATCTTGTTAACAGTAATATCTTAAGTAAACTTAATAAGACATTCCTCATACTGATGAAAATAAATAGAAATTGTATCTAAAGAATATCTTAAACAAATTCAAACCACATGAGATAAGAAGTAATGGGCATGGATTAACAAAATAGGAATCCCATAAAGGGAGGAATTTTTAAGGCATGACAACAACTAAATCAAGAACTATGACATGCTATCTCTGCTTCTTCCATTTTTTCGCTTTCTTTTCTTTGGAAAGTTTTATTATATCTTTACATACCCATCCCGAATACTCAGTGTTCATTCTAATTGTCCCATTCTGATTAAACCAAACAGGGCCTCCCAACTAAACTAGACGGCGCTTTTGGAATTACCGTCTACCACAGGAGAGAAAAGCTCCATTCTATAGAAATACCTTCCAACAGAGTAATGCCAGGAGACATAAAAACAGAGCATCCCAGTTATATTAGCAACAAAACTCACCTGTGTCGCGGTCCTCTAAGCACTGGAATGCTGTTTCTAAGCAATGCCTGTGTTGTGCCATGATGACTTCGTTTTCTGGCATGAAAGAGAAATTGCGAATAACATTTGAAGCAGCAACAGCACACTGTTGCTTTTCTGCTCGCCCTTCATCATCCAGATTAAATAGACCATCTTCATCAGACCACCACTCGGCAGGACGAGGTCTAGTCAGATTTTTCTGCAAAGAAGCTTCTGTCATGGAAGCACCAGAACCCAATCTGCCAATAAGAACATCTACGCATTAACATTACAATTACAAAGCTTTCTGTTGTAAAAGTCGTTAAACACACACAGGAACAAAAGGGTTAGCACGATTGATATTACCCGGTGGAGCCTAAAGCATCATATTCATTCCCGAACCCTGTTACGATAGAATTTGAACCTAATGTTCTGACCCTTGGTGTCCTAACAAGTTCCTTCGGAAGAGCTACGTCACGCCAATCATCTATCTGTTTGGCACAACAAAAAGCATTCCTCTTGTCAAGATCAATGGGCACAGGAAAAAGTTGGTCAATCAAGAGGAAAGCTTTGTAAATGAATTAAATGAACACAAATGAAAATTGAAGACAAGAAAGAGACATACAACTTGGAGAAGAGCATCCAGCAAGCCAGGAATTTTGGCAAGAGGAGTGGCATCTTTGCGCATGTCCTCCTTTTCCTTGAATGAGAGCAACGTGAGAGTGTTTAGTGCCCATGTCAACTCACTCTTCAGCCCACTCTGAAGAGCCAGAACTATCCTTTTGTTGTTTTGATCTAACATGAACCAATGTACAACATCACAGCAAATCATCAGTACCCAAAAAAAGAAGAAGAAGCTAAAACTACACAGCTTCACATGAGAAATCTCTCTCAGATGTAAAGGCAACAGCTACACATTCAACAACATCATGTACTTTCTACTTCACTATCATTGACGAAAACTAAAACGACGTGTCAATGCCCATCAAAGGTCGGCCGCGAAACGCCGAAGATCAAGAATTCGCCATTACCGACGTGTCAAAACAGTCTTGGCGGTACTAACGCTGTCGTAGCAAGCTGGGACAGAGGCTAGGGTTTCTGGGAAACTGACCTGCGAAGGAGCTGTGCACCTGCAGGGACGGCCCCAGGAGGGAGGACGGAGAGGCCGCGTCGGCCCCGGCGGCCGCCATGGAGGCGGAGTTGCCGCCCCCGCTGCCGAAGGGGCGGCCCCTCTTCGCCGGCGCCGGCGCGGAGCCGCCGCCGGAGCCGCCGGACTTGCTCAGGTCTCGCTTCTGCATCCCCTCTCTCTCTCTCTCTCTGTCTCCGTCTCTCTCGCTCTCTCTCTCTCTCTGCGGCAAATATGCTTTAGAGTTGAAAGCGGGTCGGACGATCCGATTTGGCAAAATTGGATGTGGAATCGGGTTATGGGCCATTCTGACCGGATCCGACTGACTGATTTTAGGATCCGATTTGGTTTCAAATGCGCGCTTAAGAATTTTGTAAAATCCATTTGAACTTTGGTACGTTAAATATATTTTTATCTCTTTTCTTAAAAGAGAATCTGATGTCGAAGCGCGAAAGAAATTAGACTAAATAGAAAAATCGAAACGATAACGAGAAACAAACTGTTCTCTCAATTGATTAACAATCAAAATATCCAAAGTCTGCTCAAACGAAACCCTAAAACAAGCTTATATATCCCCAAACCTAACCCTACTAGGATTAATAAACATCAAATCGCAAAATTACGAAACTTCCTTTTACTAAATTAATCCATAAAAAATACTAAAATAATATAAAAACCCATCTAAACGACCCCGAATCACGAAAATTCATCGTTAGTCACAGCCAACGGCAGTGAGTATTAATCAGCACGCCGTTTCGCTTCAGCCGACCAAATTTGTGCTCAATCCAAGATTGTTGACTTCGAGCCCGTCGGTTCGTCTAGTCGCATAACGGGTCCGCCGGTCCCCTAGGTGCATCAGAATCTCTATTTTTGCCTATAATTGCTATCAAATGGAAGAAATAAAAATCTCTATCTTGCCTTTAATCGCAGTAAAATGGAAGAAATATAATTAAATTCTCGGGTGCACAATGTGGCCGCCACCTCATGAATCAAGTAAAACATTAACCGGAAATAATTTCCTATAAATTTAATGTTATATTTTTCCTTAAATAGATAAATATAATGAGAGGAAAACAAACTCGAGCAAACCATGGGTAATAGAACTGGTTAACTTATTAAATTTGTCTTATCGTTGCGAAGAATGTATTTGCCTGGTGTCATACATTGCCATATTTTGTTGATATCAACCGTTTTTTTACACGAAATGTAGATCAAGTTGATGATTGTCGAGATTTCAAACGAATCAAATATACTCCTTCTATGTTTAATGCATTACACTTCTTACATCGGCATGGGACTATTTATCCTGCATATTAAGATCATTTTTTCCGATCCATATAGTTCATATTTCCCATAATGAAACTCCTCAAAATGAAGTGATTAGACATATACATCTGAAATTATGACAAGCTAAGTGAGCATTCACGATTTCACGTAAAAATACTCAAGTGCGTGCGTAGAAAACCTACTGAACCCTAAACCCCATCGATCTCGAATATATGCCTTAGTTGTGATTGAAGATCCTCTGCCCAGGAGATAACAACATTTTCGGATCGAACCGAGCTTTGCTCTCTTGAAAAGCCCTCCATTTCGGACCAAAATGTTGCATCCACTCTCTTTCGGTGCTGTAATTTGGGAGGTATTGCTTAGCTTTAATACCATTATGTTCACAAAAACGGAGCACCTCCTTATTTTGAAGGTCAAACTCTTGCCAGTCTCTAAACCCACTTGATTGCAAGAATGCAACCGCATAAAAGACGTCTTCATCTGGTATGACAGCGGACATTCTATCATCCCATCTGCAAAAAACCAATAATCAATATTAAATAGAAGGCTTAAGTTCCACACATGGTCACTCAAGTTTAGTATAGTTTTTATCAAGTCACTTCCTATTAATTTTAATCATTTATTGCGCTATAACTTCCAAGTTTTTGCATACTATGCACTTGCTGCAGGATTTGACCGATTTTCTGACGAACTGATAACGTGGTGGACAAGTGACCAATTTTCGGGATCTCACACCATTGCCACGTCGGCAACACGTGAACATTTCGTCGGGAAATGAGCCTAGTTTTGGTCAAAGTGCATCGGTTGCAAGAAATCAAACATTTAGTGCATTGATTTAATTAAAATCAAAGTTTAGTGACTGCAACTCATTAACTTTTAGACACAACTAACGAAATATATGCTATAAATAAAAGTGGTTGCCAGCTAGAAAACATACTTATTTTTGTGCATAGGGAAAATGAGGACAGTTCCGGTTGTTATGTTCTTTTTGAGAACAATGTTCTTGAATACGCCAAGGTTGAAATCGGCGATGCCAGATTTGGGCACAAATAGGTGGAGCCACGGGTGAGGAACCTTCCATAGCCCCCGTCCTCGGAGCCCCAGCTCCTCAACTCGTACTCTATTCAAGAAATCTACGTAGGCGACATCTTTCTCGAACACGAACTCGGGGACATGGCTCAAATTTTTCAATATTTTCTCCAGGTCCTAATGTTAACAAGATAACATTGAATTTAGTAAAAGAAAAGAGATAAGATGTTTCAGAGAGAGAGAGACAGAGAGAGGGAGAGAGAGAGAGAGAGAGAGAGGTACTACAAAACCCTAGCCCAACGCAAGCACAAAAAATCAAAACTTAAGCTAGGATCTTTCTTTTCTTTCTTTTTCAAAGATAGTTTGATATCGACAAACATTTACCTTGTCCACTGTGCTTTCGGTGCGTCCGTCATAGTATTTGGCTACCTCGATACAGTAGAGGAGCTCATGTTCGGTCACGAGAGACATCAACCGCTGGTGGTCTGAGAGAGAGAAGAAAGATATCCATCCATCTGAATTTCGGCGCATGAGAAGTAAACCTTCTACATAGTCCAATGCTTCATCTTGGTCCCTTCCATGGTGTGATATCAAACGTTCTTGGTCCATCGTAAAAGCTGAAAAATCACTATACAGCATTCTCACCCACTTAGCCTGCATTGGATTCAAGAAAAAATACATTTAGTACCTTGTAAATCTTCTCTATCAACCAACTAAAAGAATACCCAATGTAAACGTATATGCTGCTGACTTGTAGGTTTTTGGTCAATGTGAAAGATAAGAGTTGATTGCAGCTTACCAAAGGCAAATTAGAGCTTACGCTGTCACATGAAAACATGTGGTATCAAGTATGTCTTTTTCTCTTGTGAGGTTCGATACATCAAGAGACTTGGACATCCAATCTCATAGAAAAAAAAATTGTGATTGTCCCAATCCTAAAGACTGATTATGGTGAAATCTGATCACATATTGATGATTAAGTCCAGTGCATTACGTACTCTCTTTGGAGCTTGACCCAGTGCAATCCTTGCTCTGGTTATTATGCCAAATTGACCAAGACCACCAAGGACAGAGTAAAATAACTCGGGATTTTTCTGGGGGGAGCAAGTCGAAAAGTCTCCGGTTCCTACCAAAAAATGGAAAAAAAAAATTTCTCTCATCAACAAGCAAGCAAATATGAGGAACTGAAATACACATACATGTCTGTGGTGCATAACTCAATACTTTAGAGCGAGAAAGAATCTTATCCATCAAAACATGTTCATCAATTATCCAAGTCGATACATTTTGAAACTTAAAATCAAATTCCTTGTTTATATTGTAATATGAATTTTTTTCTTCGATAAGTAATGGTGTGTGTACGCGACAACAGCGACATAACTTTTCCGCTGAGGACATCGTGGTCTTTTTCCATGTGTACATACGTGCATAAACAAGAAAAATGGTAGTTGGCTAGAGTTCGAAGTCTATTAGTTTTTGTTATAAAGATCAAAGAATAAATAAAATCCTCGTTCTTCTGAGATTAACTGGACGTATTATTAACCCAGTTGACTTATACATCTACCGAGAATGACATCAAATATGGAAGCTGAGGGTAAGTATGAAATACCAGTAATAACATCCATTTCGTAGACATTCCTGATTTGAGGACCATATCGAAACGTTTGCCCACTAATGCCAACATTAGAGAGCGTACCACCCACGGTTAGGTACAAATAATCTGTCCACGAAACTGGTGCAACACCATGTTTCAACGTCTCCTCCAATACATCGATCCAAAGTTGCTGGCCACCGACGTCGGCATAGTGGCCGAGCGACCAGCTCCAGAACACGGTGGCGCCCCGCCACTTGTGACCAAGAGATGTCATGTCCATGACAACCCCATCGTGAGCCATAGCTTGTCCCAAGATGGAGTGGCCGCGTCCTCTGGCTGAGATAGTGAAGGGAATAGTGGATTCATTGTATGCGAATGCCACAAGAGTCGCGATGTCTTCGGGGCGAGATGGGCGAAGGACGACAGCGGGAATTTCTCGGACAATGAGGCCAAAGTCAACAGAGGCTGCACAGATGGATTCGGGGTCGACGTGGAGGTTGTCGGCGATGGGGAGAGAAAGGAGCTTGTGGTATAGTGAATTGGTCAAAGGCTTGGATTGGCATACGATTGAGAGCAGTAATATCATCATGCAACGTGAGGCCATTGGATGGTTTTGCACCATTTTAACGTCGGAGGAACAAAGAGATGATGAGCAAGTTGGTGTGTGCGGGTGTATGCGGTGGAGTTGAGAGGGAGAGCTCACAAGGGTCTGATATATAGACACGGAGGCAGGGAGACTATTGCTGTTAGAGATATTTATGATGTTTCCTCTAATTTTCCTGACTCTTTGGATTATACAAACCTAATTTGATTTCCTTATATAGTAATCTCATAAAGTCTATAAATAGGTTGGCGTATTCTTCATTTATACATAAAAAAATATAAAAAAATTTCACAATTTTCAATTTTTATTTTTATTTCTCTTTTGATTATGTATATCCGATTTGACTTTCTTAGATAGTAATCTCATAAACCCTGTCAATAGGTTAGAGATATTTACAATGTTTCCTATAATTTTCCTAACTCTTTTGATGCATATCTAATTTGATTTCCTTAAATAGCAATCTCATAAAACCTATAAATAGGCCGATGTACTCTTCATTAATTTACATAAAAATTATATAGAAACTTCATAATTTTCTATTCTGATTGTCTATATCTCTTTTAATTTATGCATATCTGATTTGGTTTCCTTAGATAGTAATGTCATAAAACATAAAAATAGGCCGATGTATTCGTTATTAATATACATCAAAATATACAAAAGTTCCACAGTTTTCTATTGTGATTTTCCAAATTTCTTTTGATTATGCATATGTGATATGATTTTCCTAGATAGTACTCTCATATAGTCTTTAATTAGGCTAATCTATTCTTCATTAATATATATAGAAATATACATAAATTCCATAATTTTCTATTCCGCACTATTCTTAACTTGATATTAGAGTCATTATTGTCTGAGGAAGAGGTCACTGAGTCTTTATAAAGGTAGTAGTTGTAGCAACATTACGACAATCGTGCTGCTGTATATTTCCCATCGAACCCACTGATCTTCAAATGTTTTTCATTGCACAGCCACAGCCTCTTGGAAAAGAAAATCACTATACGCAGCTCGTAAGACAATGATTGTTAGGGTTCTTGGCTTTGATTTGCAAAGATTTTTTTTTATCATTAGTCAGTGATTTGACTTTCATTTGATTCCTCTGTATCCTTTCAATTGGGTTACCAGTAAGACGTGTACCACGATAAGTACATTTTGTGCCCTAGAAAGGCTGTTACTTTCAAAAGCCTTGATGTCCTTCGAAGCCATCTGCAGTAAACTTCTTTTTATTTGGCGCAGCTAGGCCATCCGGACTTTCTCTTTCTTACAGACCTAGGTATGTTCCTTGAGTTAAAGGGATATTAAAATTCATCTTTAGGATATTAATTGTGCATGATTTATAGAGATTCCATTATCACATACCTGTTATCGAGGGGCCGCCCTTGGGGGAATAGGTTTAGAGATACTTTATGGGACTCTCCCTAAATCCATACCTCACGTGACATTGATTGTTTTAATCTATATATTCATTAGAAGTCACCATTATCTATTATTGAGGGTCGGCTAAAAACCTTAATTGAGGCACGGGAGTATCGTCTCGATACATGTAAAAACAAAGATTTAGGGATGGAGGACTTGATTACATTAGTCATCTAACTAATGTCGTTTAGGTAGGGCAGTCTTTTACCAATCAAAGATCCTAAAATTTATCCCGTTCTAAAAAAGAAAATAACAACCAATGGATGAAAAGTGTGCAATCAAGTAAAATAGAAACGAAAATGCATAAACAGCGACCTAGTATTGTCTTTAAAAGAAAATGCATTCAAAAACCCTATGGTAAAAGCCTTAAAGGCTTATTCAATTTCAAGTCAAATTTTTTTTAAGCCCAAAATGTTTGTTAAAAGCCCCAAGCTAGGTGAATTCTAAATGTTTTAGCTTTTCCCACATTTTTGTTATTTTTCTGAATTTTTTTATTTTTTAATTCTGAAAAAGGGACTTCAAACCAAGTCAGGGAACCCTTCCGATTTGCCGGTCTGACCCAGATCGTGGGTCCGTGTTGGGTTTAGATTCGGATCGACCTCTTGGGTCCGATCTAAATACGGTTTGATCTATTGGGCTTGAGCTATTCTGTTGGAGTAATTGAATATCAATTCACGCCTACATCTAACAGCTTAAGTTTTTAGAGCAGTTGGCACTGATTCCACCAAAATCTTACATGGTATCAAACCTGGAGATTTTAAGTTCAAATCTTTGCAGGCCCTAATTGCATCCCAATTAAATATGTCCACCAAACTAAGCGTGAAGGGGAGTATTAGAGTAGTTGAATATTAAACCATACCTTCATCTAATAGTTTATACTTTTAGAATAGTTGTCAATAGTCTCACCAAAATCTCATGATGAAGTATATTTATGGAGATTAGAGATTTCCTCGCTACCTTTCATATGTATATTGTTGGGTATAAATACCCCATCTAATAACTTGTAAAGTCAAGCCAATTGAGTAAATATGTAGTCTTTACTCATTATCTCTCCCTCTCTCTTGAAGATTCTAAAATATTTACATGGTATCGAACCACAAGGAGAGAAGGAATTAAATCAAACCTTAGCTTTTTCTTCTTTTATGCTATATTTAGTCGTCTCATTTTCAGTAACTTCTTGTTTTTGTCAACACTCAACAACTCTACTATGGACGTTATTCATTATGGTACTCTCTTCTAATTGCGAGTAAATGTGAGCATTGGAGTCAAGCACACCTTCAATGAGCAACCAAAGATGAGCGCCGGGAGGTGTCATCAAGTATCCAGGTAGCTATTAGGGCCGGAGTCAAGCACACCTTCATCAAGTAGTCAAAGATGAGCATTGTGGGGGTGATATCTACTACAATTCAAGTTGGGTTTCCATACGATTCTATCAAGGTTTTGTAAAAAAGATGTCAACTTTCTAAGCATGTGTTGCTTTAGCACTTGTCAAATCTAGTTTGTTTAGTGTAAGATCCGACTTACATGGCAATTGATTATAGACTTTCGAAGAAAGTTGCACCAATCATATGCAAGCCGAATACTCTGGCTTGAGGGGGGAGTGATAAAGTATATTTATGGAGATTAGAGATTTCCCAACTAGTGAATATTGTTAGAGATATTATTTAATATTTCGTAATTCTCTATGATAGCTAATTTATTTTCCTATGCATATTGTTCCGATATAAATATCCCCTCTAATAACTTGTAAAGTCAAGCCAATTGAGTAAATATGTAGTCTTTACTGATTATCTATCCCTTTCTCTCGAAGATCCTAGAATATTTATAATGTGAGATTTTGTCAAGCTAAAACAAAAAGACATGGTTTAATATTTAATTATTCTGACACTCTCCCTCACGCTTAGTCTGGTCTTTTTGCCTAGTACTAAGGGTGAACATATTTAATTGGGAATGCAAATGAGGCCCGTAAGATTTGAACTCATGACTTCCTGTTCTGATACCATGTGAGATTTGTGGAACCATTTTTAACTGTTTTAAAAGTTTAAGCTGTTAGATGAAAGTGTGGTTTAATATTTAATTATTCTAATATTCCCTCTCATGCTTATTCTGGTCTTTTTGCCTAGTATTAAACGTGTGCATATTAGCTCAAGCCCAAATACCCAAGTTTTGTTTTTTATCCATTTAAGCCCATTTTTATATTCATCTCAAACACTCAACCCAACTTAATAAAACCTCCGGCCATCCTCCAGCCATTGCGTTTCCAATCCGACCCAAATCACAACCCGATCCATCTTCGATAACCAGATCCAACCCAGTTTTTTTATTATATCCTAATTAATTTTTTTTTCTAGTCTTCTTCTTCCTCACGAGCTTGCACAAAGAGCTCATCGTCACTATATTTTTTTTTTGGAAAAATGACACAAATAGTCCTTGAACTTTAGCCCAACGTGCAATGTGGTCATTGGACTTTTACTTTATTCAATGTGGTCCTTAAAATTTTACTTTAATATGTAATGCGGTCCCCAAACTTTTAATTTGTTCAGTGTCATCCCTGAACTTTTAGTACATGTTCAACTTAATCCCTAAACTATATGAAAATGTTCAATATAATCTTTCCATTAAGTTCAGGGACCACATTAAATAAAGAAAAAGTTCAACGACAATATTGAACATTAAGCTAAAGTTCATGAACTACATTGAACAAATTAAAAGTTCATGGATCACATTACACATTGAGCCAAAATTTAGGGATTGTTTGTGTCATTATCCCTATTTTTTTTGCTTCTTTGGAGCAAATCTTCTCTGGTTGTCAACGTTTTCTGCCAACACCGACAACTACCACCAACCCTACACATTTATCGTCAGCCATCACAATTGTTATTGAACCGCCACTTAACTCCGGCCACAAAAATCACCAAACACCATTATCGACTTCCATTTTTTCGATCTCCAATCCTCAACCAAATCTAAAATTCTAAATCTACACACAGATAAACACACGGAACGGGAATGGAAATCTGACTACTGCGGCCTCTAACCGCAGGCTTAGCTCCGGCTAGGGGAATGGCGTCTCCGGTGAGAGGGTGTTCATCCATGGACGATTCAGGAAAACGTTGTATATGCCACAAAAATCAAATAGAATCATAGAGTCAGTCACAAAACATCAATCTCAAAACAAATAAAGCGTAAAACGAAGATTCTGTGAATCAATTTTGCGAAATCGGTTTCAACATTTCATTCAGGCATTTTGTCGAACAGGTAATACGCGACTTGGACTATGAGCTTCAGATTCGATTTTAGTGTGGTTCTCGGCCTAAAGATGGTTTATAGAGTTCAAGTCGACATTATTCACCACAAAACAGCTTTGATTTTGATGTAGCTAGCAAGGATCACCTAGAAGGGGGGTGAATAGTTGATCTTAAACAATTTTTATCAATTTACGCGGAAATGAATGATCACAGTTGAGTCTGAATAAAATTCAGATTCAAAACAATTTATATAGACAGTGCTCTTGATGTGTAGTGTGTAAAGTGATAGATGAGGGATAGAAAAACTGCATACAAGTTTATAGTGGTTCGGCTTATAGCAAGCCTACGTCCACTCTCCCACGCTGACAGCCTACCGGCTGGATTTCACTATGTA